AAATATATTTTTATACTATAATATAAAAAAATTCTAAAAAAAAATAATAATCAAAACTTGTGAAAAAAGTGTTTTCTTCCAGTTTTTTTCCTAATTTTTTTATTTTATTCAAACTAAGTGAGGGGTTACATATGTGATATAATTATATAGCCCTATCTGTCCTCTAAAAAACAATATATAATATGTGTGGGTACATTTAGTAAGAAAGTATATTACTGCTGTGGAAGAATCACACAGCAAAAATGTAAAAAATGTGTCAGTCATTTATGAACAGAACCTGAAAACTAGCTCAGTCATGAAGGGGTTAATATTGTTTCTTACCAGTTTTGTTTTATCTTTTTATAGTGGTAAAATTATACAGACATTCTTCTGTTTATGATGTCTGCAATGCATTCTGGGACATTTGGTATGCCTGCTGTAGTTTTTTAAATGTAATCCCTTGTCTCTGTCCTTTTTGTAGTGAACAGTTTAATATACCTGGCAGTAATATGTCAAATGGCTGAAGGAACATCTCCTAAAGCGGAACTAAGGTTAAAACAAATTGCAAGCAAACGTTCTCTTTGTTGTAAAAGAGACGTGCTATGTCTCTCCTGCAATAAAACAACTTTTTTGCCTGTTCTCTGTCTTCGTAAGAATGTACACTGAGCTGTCCATGTGTAGTATCATGTAGAGTTTCGGCATATCTTGGTGCCAGAATGAATGAACTCCTGTGTGCATATGTGGGAGTTAAGCCATTCCCCAACTGCCGGTCAAGATGGTTGTTGACCCGGCACCTGAAAGAAGTTTGAGAAGATGTCGGTGTCAAAGTGAAGAACAAGGTGTTTAGGAAATACCTGCAGCTTCACTACCTACTTTATGATTTGAGGCTTTGGTAATTATAACTTGTCTTGTATAATTTTCATCAGGTCTGACAAAACTTATACAAACGCATACACTGCTAGTTATGCCTATCTAGAGGCAGAGCCAGCTGTAACCACCCCCGTCCGTTGCGCCAGTCAGCACTGGAGGATCGGAGCGGGGAGGGGGCAATCCAGTCCCTCCCCTGTCACGGCAGAGAGCCGTGACAGGATCGAGAAGTGAGTGAACGCCGGTATGTGTTCGCTCACCTCCCGATCTACTGAGCCGACCTGTGACAGTCTCATTGTCACAGGTCAGCTAGAAATATGAGGTGAGTGAAAAGCACTCACCTCATAGTTCTCCTTTTTTTTTAAACAATATTTTTTATTAAGAATCAGGTCACACGTAAATGTCATCAATTATCACATAGGTTTTACAGACATTGTACAATGCTGGTACTTAACATAGTAGAAAAATTATAGCCACCTCTTCAATAGTAATCGCCAATTCCTAGTGAAGCAGTTTTCTAAGCAATATCGGTAGAAATGGGCCATCTACGGAGACCCATTTTTATTTTACCACACAACACTAACCCAAAGAAAGAAAAGTATAGAAACAGAAAGAAAGGGAAAGTGTAACCGACATCACACTACTGTGTGTCCATCAGAAAAAGGAGGGAAGAGAGAGGTCAGGATGTAAGAGACAGATATTCCAAATCTTAGTCAAGCTTCGGAGCTAACCTCCTACTATTTGGACGCGTGGTAGTTCAACCATGCTCCCCACACATGTTGGAATTTGTTCTGGGTCTGAGTTCTATAGGAGATCACCTTCTTATATTCACATTGGGAGTGTATTTTCTTGGAGGCGTCCGCCAGATACCAGGATTTTAGTTGGGTCATCATAGTCGCTCTATAGTAGTCTCTAATGGAGGGCATTCCCATTCCACCCGGGATTTATGGCGAATCAGGGTTCTAGTTTGGATCCTGGGTTTTTTCCCATTCCAAACAAATGAAGCAAGTAAAGCTTGGGCGGCTGAAAAAAATTTGGCGGGGAGAGGGATAGGTAGTGTCCGGAAGTAGTATAATAATTTAAGTTGTACATCGCCATATATCATATAGCTCTTCTTTGGCAAGCAATTTACTGATGGATGGCCTGCGTGGGTCAGCCACATTAGAAACATCTAGGGCCGGGTCAGAGATTAAATTAAAATCCCCACGCAGAAGCATGCGACCTCTCTGTACAGATCGAATTTTAGTGCACAACTTTTTAAGGAAGGAATGTTGGTTAACATTGGGTGCGTACACATTCACCAAAGTATAGCAAATCGAGTTTAGCTCGCAAACCAAAACAATATATCTACCATTCTGATCAATGATCGAGTCAAACAGTTGAAAGGAGACAGAGCGCCCTATAGCTATTAACACCCTCCTTTTCTTGGAGGTGGCTTTGGAAAAAAAAACATTGGGGAACTTTTGGTGTTGAAACATAGGCGCCTTATCTATGCAAAAGTGAGTTTCCTGGGCGCATAACACATCGCATGAATGCAGTTTAGCCTCATTCCACAATTGGGATCTCTTAAAGGGGCTATTCAGTCCTTTAACATTTTAAGGAAAGGAGTTTAATACTCATCTAAGGGCTGGCAGAAGTCAGATAGGCCCCATGACAGAGCGAGCTTTACAGCTTCCAAGTGCTCAGATACCAGAAAGGTCCAGCTTGAAATGTAGGGGGGGGCTCCTCGCCCCACATTCCATTCGTGTCTGACAGCGATTGTAATCTCCATCCTGAAGGTAAGAGGTAAAGAGAAAAAACAGGAACAAAAACCAAAAAGAACAAAAAAAAACAAGGCAACAAACACCAAATCTGGCTGAAAAGTAAAAAACGGTGAGTATCGACAAGCGGTACTCAGGGCAGCAGAACTCAACCCCGGTTGGTAATATGCAGCTAAGAGAGGTAGGATCCGGTGCCTCAGGCCAGCCGAGGCGCCTATGTGGCGAGCGTTAACTTAGGCGAACACTCGCATCCGCCCCTCAGGCAGAGGGAGATAACTTTAAACTTCCACTGCAGGTGAGGTCAGCCAACTTCATTGGCGCCACATGTATCCTCGGCCGTAGGGATCCCCCATCTTTTCAGCAGAAGTAAGCCGGAGGCCACATCAGGGATGGTAAACAATTTCCCACTCTTGTGGAGCAATAACTTGGTGGGGTAAACCCATCTGTAAGGGACTTTTTGATCTCGTAGGGCTTTCGTTATAGGCATCAGTCGCTTCCTGGCCGCAATGGTAGCCTGCGACAGATCTCCGTAGAGAGACAGCGAGCCATAGGGATCCGGTAGAGGAGTGACAGATCTAGAGAGAGACATCAATTGCTCTTTTAAATGATAGCAGTGTATGCGGGCTATCACGTCCCTAGGGACCGAATCAGGAAGATGGGTGGGCTTCGGAAGCCGATGGGCTCTGTCGACAATGGTCTCATAGTCTGACAGGGAGGGCAGTAGGTCTGTAATCAGCCGCTGTATAAAATCCCGCAGTTGCCCAGGCGGCACATTTTCAGGGACGCCTCTGAATTTGATATTGTTTCTTCTAGCTCTATCTTCCAGGTCCGCCAACTTCAGGGACATGGTATGGAGCTCATCAGAGGTGTCAGTGTATGCATCCACCAGGTCATTGTGGGCCTCTGCATATTCCCCCATCTTGACTTCCACGTGATTCATCCGTTCCCCCATCTCCTGTATCTCTCCCCTCATTTGGTGCATTATAGACACCATATCGCTATGCAGGGAGCTGCGTAATGACACCAGCATGTCTTTGAGGACTGTGTCCACTACAGGGCTATCAGTAGTAGGGAAATTATCTATGGGATCATGGAGTTCCCTGGTATCGTCAAGGGGGAGAGTTACCTGGGGTGTAGAAGCTGTTCGTGCAGCCTGTTTCTGCCGAGGATTTGGTGGGCTGTGGGCGAGGAGCTGCTGAGCGGTGTAGTGCTCCTGGCGCTGTTAGCCGTTCGTCCGGCTGCTGAAGCAGGTCCCGCAATCTGCGAGTCAGGGCCACGCGTGGAGCCGCGTGTAGAGCCGGCGCCATCTTGCTTGGCTGGAGCTCCGACCATGGAGAAGAAATCGGTCAGTTTGCGGGGACCGCGTTTCTTCGTTTTCCTTCCCATAGCTGCCGGCACTTCTTGGAGGGCTAATCCTGCCTGTGGGGTACGGATGATGGTGCTCAGTCGCTGGGGATGTCGCTAGGTATGCGCTGGGGCTTCAGAGCCTCTCTTCTATGCGGCCATCTTCTCCGGCGTCAGGCCACACCCCCCCATAGTTCTCCTTTTAAATCTTTGTGTGTTTTTTTTTTTCTTTTTATGAAGAGAAAGCCCACACTTAAATGATTTTGCACGATACACAATTTAAAAAAAAATTTAGTCGCATATCTCAAAAACACAGTGCTAATACCATGATTACACCACACGTTGTATATCTCTACGAATATTGGAGTGAGAACAATAATTCTTGGGCCATCACTAAGTGATAACAACACTAAATTGATATGCAGGTAAAAGTTTTTAAGCATCACCTATGTGCAATTTTGGGTACTGTAGATTTTTGCCATTTCACGGGCACACACAGTTTTAAGGCTTGACATGTTTGATATTGATTTATACAACACCCCTCCATCTTTTTTTCTATTTTACCAAACAACTGGGTATTATATTTGGTTTCTGTGCACCTAAATTCGTTTTAGTGTACTTTTTATTTTAAAAATATTTGTTTGATACACATTTGCACAACTATCGTGTGACCAAAGAAAATGCAACTGGCATTTTTTTATTCTACAAGGCCTCTGCTTTCAGGAAATATCTTATTGTTTAGGGATTTTAAGCTGTTTTCTTGCCCAAAATTCACATTTTATCAAGTGTGTGCAAAAATGAAGAAATTGTTTCCAAAAGGGAAGTGTTAAAAGAATAGTGAACTCTAAAAAAAAATGTAAATAATGAATTCAGATCAAACAAATATACATTGTTCAGCAAAGTATTTCTTTACATTTTTGCCCAAACACTTAGTTGTCATGTTTCTGAACAGTGGGCTCCAACTCTCAGCTCCACCTCCCTGAACCTTCTGTCCAGGAAGAGCACAGACTCCAGCAGCTGTCCATCTATTAGCTTGGAGAAGGGAGGAAGGAGAGGGGCAGGGAAGTGTCTTGCTGTGTCAGTGTTTTTGTGGAGACACACACAGCTTACTAGCACACACAAGGGTGTCTCCATAGGACTTTGCAAGGAAAAGGAGCTACCCTAAAACACGATATTGGGGCCAGTGCTCAGGGGACCAGCTGATTTTGCAGGAAGCTAGAACTTTTAAACATCAAGGAGCAGCATCCATTGTACGTGATATCATCCGCATTTAAAATAGTTAAAAACTCTTTGAATTTAATATCACATTAAAGATAAAAATCTTGAGGAAAAGTCAGGAAAGGTAGTCTGAAATTTATAGAGTATTTACTTGTTTTTGTTTAACTTTTTGGCAATATATGTTTTCTGTGTCGCTTTATCTTGCTTCAGGGCAGCGCATTCTATATGGGGTACCAGTCTGAAAGAGTACATGTGTGTTGACAGTTCAGAATCAATGAACCAGCTCAATGAATTGATTTTGAGAGGTAAGATTCTCTGTCCTCCATTATTTTTTGTCTTAGACAACTTTCCCCCAAATTAATTTTCCTTTTTGTAAAGGGTGATGGGGATAGGCATGAAAAGTCAAATTTATCTTTGCATCCCAGCCACATTATTCCAGTGCCATTCAATTCCTAAGCAAATATGTAATATATGATTTTTTTATAATTGGCCTGTGCCATTAGGCACCACCCACAATCAAAATATAAATATGTGTGTATCACTAACACTGCTGTTTTTCTGATTGTTTGTGTTGTCAGGTGGAGAAGAGACAGGCGATATGCACTAGGCAAGTTGTATTTCATTATTGAACAACTCCAGTGCTCTCGGTCAATCCAAAATGTTAATAAACCTGAAATTGTAAGAAAGTAAAAGTGATGTTTAGGCTTCTTAGGAGAATATCTGTGTGTGCACAATTATTGGGCAACTATTAGTGTGCAGGATTATTATGTAACTAAATGGAAAATGAAAATGTTCCCATCTCCCTTGTTTAGTTTGATCTGTTAAAGTGAGAATAATAAACAAACAACTCAAAATGTACAAATAAACATTTCTGACATTTTCAAAAACAAAATCAGTGGCCAATATAACCCCCTTCTTTTCAGTAACAGTCATCAGCCTTCCATCCATGGAGTCTGTCAGTTTCTTCATCTGTTGATGATCAACTTTTTGTGCAGCAACAACGGCCTCCCAGACACTGTTCAGAGAGGTGTACTGTTTTCCTTCACCATAAATCTCCTGTTTTTAAGAAGGGACCATAAGTTCTCAATAGGGTTTAGGTCAGGTGAGTAAGAGGGCCATGTCATTATTCTTTCTAGGTGCGGCGTCTCAGTATACCGCGAGCTGTAGCTCGCAGTATAATGAGCTTAGGGTAATGGGAGGACGCTAGTTTGTGTCCTCCCGTTACCCTAAGGAGAACTATGGGGAAAAACACTGACCCCATAGTTCTCCTTTAAGGCCTTTACTGGCTAGCCATGCAGTGGAGTACTTGGATGCATGCATGGAGCAATGTCCTGCAAACATATCATGGTCAGACTTTGTCCTGGACCACTGCTTGAAGAAAGTGTCTTCTAAAAACTGGCAGTAGGTTTGGGAGTTGATCTTGAGTCCACCTTCAACCCGAAAATCCAACTAGCTCATCTTTATTAATACCAGCCCACCAGTACCCCACCTCCACCTTGCTGGCATCTGAGACGAAGTGGAGCTCTGTGCCCGTTCCTGATCCAGCCATGGGCCCATCCATCTGGTCCATCAAGAGTCATTCTCATCTCATCAGTCCATAAAACCTTTGAATACTCTTTCTTCAGATATTTCTTGTCCCAGTCTTGACGTTTCAGCTCATGTGTCTTGTTCAGTGGTGGTCAGGTTTCAGCCTCCCTTACCTTGGCCATGTCTCTGAGCACTGAACATCTTGTACTTCTGGGCACTCCAGGTAGCTTGCAGTTCTGGAATATGACAGCGCTGGAGGATAATGGGGTCCTGGGAGCTTCACGTTTTGATTCTTCTGAAATCTTTGGCAGTTAATTTGCGTCTTTCTTTCTCAACAGGTTTCTTCTTACCCTGTTGACTATTTGCAACAAAAAGTTTGAGGGTTCTGTGATCACGCCCCTATAGCTTAGCAATTTCAAGAGTGCTGCATCCCTCCGAAATACTTTTTTTCAGTTTGACTTTTCAGAGTCAGTTAAATCTTCTTCTTTTCCTCATGCAAAAATGGGACCAAAAAAAAGATCACCTGATATGCTTAAATCCAATCAGCATTCACGTTTATACAGCTTGGAGTTAGGATATGCATAAAAATTGTGATTTGGTCAAAATACTCACTTGCCTAATAATTGGGCACACAGTGTAGTTGATGTTTTTATACTGAAAGCACCACATCCCAGATATGCTTTGTTAGATTATGCCTTCTTTTCGTCACTAAATTGTTTTATGGTGACTAGTAGTGTTTTTACCATCATACCCTGATACATCCACTATCTATTACAGGTGCAGTATGACTTGGTGATTTCTGCTTTCTCCTTAAATGAGCTTCCCAACCTGTCTGCAAGACAAATGAACATCCGGGCTTTATGGAGGAAAACAGGAGGTTTCCTGGTCTGTGTGTGTTTTTTAACTCTAATTTTTAACTCTATAATTGGAGCTATCTATCCATGTATTATCTTTATTTTTGACTGTGTCTCCAATGCTGTATAGGTGCTGGTGGAAAATGGCACTAGAGAAGGCCATCAACTTTTAATGGAGGCCAGAGAAACTATCTTAAGAGTGAGTGTCACCTTCTTTTTTTTTTTTTTTTCCTGCCGGTGGCCGTAATTGGGGACTATCATCCGCGGCGGGCCGGGGGGAAGAGGGTCTCGTAGCAGGCATAGACTGACCTGATCTGGAAGGTCCCGCCATGCGGGGGGCAAGATGGCCACCGGACTCAGTGCGCCTGAGAGCAGCCGTTGAGGTTCTCGGAGCCGCCGGGGCGAAGAAGCCGGGAATTGTCAGCCGGGAGTTCTGCTGCTGTGACCGGGTTGATCGCCTGTCACCAAACATGGGGATTAGAGTACGTGGCTAGTAGTAGTTAGCTGTAATGGGTAAGGTCGGGAGCAGAGCTCAGCACACACGCGACTCTACTGCTCCATTGCTTGGCCACGCCCCCAGTGTCACCTTCTATGTAGCAAATTATTTTTTTTTTTTTCTCTGCATTACTAGGCTCCTATGTCATTGTGTTAGCTAACTGAAGACCTCCTTTTTTTTTTTTATTGATTTCTAAAAGATATCTCTGTTTCTTTTACTCATAAGCCCATGTATAGCTATAGTCACCATTGCTCAGCAGTTAGCTTATTTTTATACTGAAGTCCGCCAAGTACCAAAAGATTTATGTGGTTGGTTGCATTTAATCGCACTACTTTATCTTTTTGGTCTAGTTTTTTAAAGTGACACTAAACTCAGTAGTTATATCTTAAAAAATAATTCCGGTACCTTAACTATTAACAAAAATGTATCTTATTTGTGTAATCACTTGGCTTTTGATCATCAAATCATCTCTAAATTGGTGGTGACGCTTCCTTTCTTCTGGAGGGTGGCTACTTTTGTTCCCCATGGTCCCTGTGTGTTGTAAAGTAGTCACCACTCCAAGCTAACTCTTGTGATAGACTATAATCTCAATATAAATCAGTAAACTAAATGAGATTGTAGTCCATCACAGGAGTGAGCTTGGAGCGGTTACTTTACAACACACACAGGGACCATGGGGAACAAAAGTAGCCACCCTCCAGAAGAAAGGAAGCGTCACCACCAATTTAGAGATGATTTGATGATCAAAAGCCAAGTGATTACACAAATAAGATACATTTGTGTTAATAGGTACTTGAATGCATTTTTAAGATTTAACTCCTGAGTTTAGTGTCAATTTAACAACTACACCCATAGATATTCGATAGTTCTTTTTATTCCAGAGTTACTGAAATGTAAATCGGGAGCTCGTAGATTTTAGTTCACTTCCAGTATGCGAAAATAATAAAATAAAATTGCAGCATTTTCTGTATTGGCAATATCACTAATTCCTGTCTTGATCCAGGGAGGTGACAAGGAAATTTGGGACCATCGGCCAGCATGTATATTTGCTCCGGTAAGATATGCCTTCATTCTGTGCTGCTTATGAACATATTTGGGAAAGTGAAGCAATGGTTATATAGCTTATAGTGCATGTTAATACAATTAGTTTTTTCCCCCTTAACCCTTTCATGACCACAGGTAATTGATGCCCAGACCAAACTTGTGTCGGGTAACTCGACAAAAACTGACCTAAATAATTTTTATGGGCATACAGGGCTTTTCTCTTGTACAATATAAAAAAAACAACCTGCTTTTTTTTTTTTTTTAAGTATAGACTGAAAATGTACACAAATATTACAACTTTTTGTGTTTTTTTTTTTTTTTCTTTTATTTATTTTAATACTGTAATTGTATCTTGATATTGCACTGAAGATACCACTGCAGCCTGAAGGTGGCAATGTTCAGCTTCAGGCTGAAGGCTTTTATTTTCTCATTGAAGGCCTCATCGCTTCCAACCTACCTATGATCATTATGTCATAGCTGATCGTGATTGCATGATTGGGAACCACTGTGATTGGATTCCCGGTAGATAATGGGGACCACAGGTGTCAATGACAGCCAGCCTTGAGAGCCAACAACCTCTTCAAGTTTCAACTGGTGGCTCTGAAAGATAGGATGTTTATAAACCAAATTTCAACAACTGAGCATGTTGCTGGGGACTGTTTGAATGTAGATTTGAGGAAGGGGTTAAAAACCCTCTGTCTGTTAAAGGATTCTGGGTTTGAGCAGAGAGATCCCTTCACTTTTTTTCTTTTGCAACTTTCTTTAACAGTGTCCTCATCAACTGGAATGTCCCAGACTGGCTGAAAGCTCCAAGCTGCCCTGTAACTTTGTGCAGCAGTACCATTCATTACCACTAAGATGGGTGAGAACACCAAACTCTGTGCTTATCAGTTTCATATACAGTTTTTCTGTTTCCTCCTTTGCTTTAGTTTGTATAATTTTTTTTTTTTTCACAGCACCCACCCCACCGCTGGGAGAAGTTTTCCTTTTTGGTGTTTTCCCGTGGCACTGTGAGTGAAAATGGTAACCAGTGGCCACGTGTAATTGGACCTGTGCTGTCAAGACCACGCCATGTTCACTGCCACACATGTGGCGCTGATGGGAAGCTACACCATGATGTCATCACACCTCAGAGGCACGGAAGGTATGTCTCATGACTCTCAATTTGTAGAGGCTGTCTTGTTACTTTCTGTGCTCACTGTTCTTATTTATACCAATTTCTGTATGTAGAATTTGATACGTTTGTTTTTTGATAGCTTTTAAACACACTTAGATTTCAAAATGTATGATGAGCACACTGCACCAGTTCCTGCTTAGTTTATAATGCTAATTATGTATTCTTAGGGACCTGTACCGCTGTGCTAGGAATTGTGAATGGGGAGACCGTCTACCAGCACTAATTTCTCACTCTACTGATCCTGATACGTGTGAAAATGAGAAGACAAATGATTCATGATAATGGAGCAGAAAGCACCAATCTCCTGCTTTAGCAGAGTTGCAGAGATCTGTAACTTTCCAGATTCTCTGAGATGATCCTCTTTACTTCAAGCTTCAAACAGTGTGCAGTTGATGCGATCTTTGTGTATTACCAGATGATCTGTGACGTGGCAGTGGAAATATTGTAAGGTACACTGACCTCTCCTAGCTGTGCAAAAGATTATTAAATACTGTAGAATTATTCTTTCTCAGTCAGAGCACCACTAGAAGATCATTGTAGCCTTGAATAGTAAGTTGCTTTTTTATAAATTTGTGCTTTTCCACATAAAAGTTTTTTTTCCTGGACCTAGCAGAAACAATACATTACGTGTGTAATGTTTAGTTGCTGCTTTCAGTTCTTGCATAAAAGATAAATCATCTTATTGACAACATTAGAATGTTATAGACAGGAGCTGATCAGATGTAATTGTCATGAAAATATTAAACTAAGGCTTATTCCTAACTTGCCATGAGACAATTTTCCACGTGTATTACAGTTTTAGAACCGGTGTTCACAGGCTTTAGGTTTGTGTCAATGGCATCAGTTTGAGACACTTCTGAGATCATTCAGAATACACTGACAGGTGCATTTGACCTTCTTCTGACCTGCATGTGATCTGCTTTAGGCTTTGTTCACACTGAAAGCGGTGCGTTCCAGAGCGGGAGGGGGGG